TGTTGGAAGGGAACAACAACACCCAAATGGCAAAAATGACCTAGATGAGAAGGCAAAAACCTACTTTGAGCCCCTCACCTTACCAAGTTTGAAAGTTTTAACCCTTCACCTTATATTATGACACTTTGAGCCTTCGGTGTGATGGGGAGGAATGGTGGAGATGCCTTGTCTAGAGAGCTCAGCTAGCACACTCTCTGCAGAAGGAGGTTTTAGGCCTAAAGGCAAAGGTAGCCATGGCTTGCTTATTGCCTCTTTCACAACCTTGTCAATCACCTCCTCTTCCTGTATAAAGGAGGAATACTCATGTGATTATTAGTGATGTTATATCTAAGTTGAAGCTTGCATATATACAAGATAAAGATGATATTAAAGCCGTTAAATAAGATAGCAAGATCAAGCGATAATTGTTCCATTACCAGCTGATAGTCAAAAGAATTTTGTGGGATGCTAGTGCTGGAGCAGTGAATCCCAGTTACGTTCTGCATACGAATCAGATTAAGATATCAAGATGGCATCATGCATGGTTTTGCAGTATGCCATACAAAGATCAATGTCAAAAGCATTTATACTCACTCGAGGGAGAGAATAAAAATCTTGAGGCAGTGGCATAACAGGACAACCCCATGTGTCAGCATGCATCTGAAACATGAAGGAAACCAAATATTAAGAGCAGCATATTTGGCAAATTCATCTGAACTAGCTTCCTTGTACATAAAATAAGCCTAGTTGAGGAAAAAGGAGAAGATGATGAACTTCACCCCTGGATAGGGCTTCCAGTGCCAACTTTCAGTTGCTTGCCAAGGAGGGTAACCAGGTGAGCCCCACACCTGGACAGTAGCTGGGTGAGAAGGAGCTCCCCACACCGGATAAAGTTGACTGGCAGGGATTGCATGATTAGGGTGATATGGAAGAAAGGTCGTCATAGGTTTTTGTGGGTAATAACTCCTGGGTGCATGATCTCTTCGTGGCCATCCTCGATCATCCTCCTTGGGCAAGATATGTCTCCTATGCATTCGATATTTCTGCTTGACATAAAGAAGTGGTAAATTTGATTAGCTAAGAGCAGATATTTTGCAATGCCTGGCCTTTACCAGAAAAAGGAAAATGTAAACAAAGGACTAGGAGGCACAATTGAAGGTATTCTTATTTCAAATGAGTAAAACATCTATTCTGTTGTGCTACTACCTACCTGAAGATGACTTGCAACATTATGCCTTGTTAAACCCTCTACTTTCATCAGCTCTAGTATTCGAGAAGGGATGGCTTGATCTATACCTAGTTGCTCTACTGCATGTACAAACTTTTTGTGCAGTTCAGGTGTCCACTCTACCTGAAATTTGAACAGCAATGTTTACTCTCCAACACCATTTTGTTCTGGGATAATAGAATTGGACATCTACTCTTTGACTAGAAAAATAGATTATCCAATAAAGATAAAAT